TGTGTCATTAGGAATGGCACTACTCGTATTTGTTCTCTACTCTTCCTCAGTAGCTCATTGCCTTCTGATCTGGGAGTCTCATCTTCTGGTACTATTGTTTCATTTTGGATTGTCTAATTATAGCATTATCACATATGTGGCTGTCTGCTTTGTATGCATTCAGATGGCTATGCATTTTTGGCAAAGGGAGAGTGAATAGATGCAGATAGATGCAAATTTGCACAGGAAAGTGAAGCTAATTTCCCATCAATTTAAATGTGCAAAAATCTGCAGCAGCATGCATAATCCACTTACACATCTGCCAGTTTCACACTACTGATGCTGCCCAGCAGCTGTATGGCCCATTTAGTTTGGCTCTTCAGCAAAAGCCTGTCTGACATAGAAAACCCTACCAGTAGCATTATAGCATCGGCATAGACTATTGCTGTACAGGTGCATGCAGTCCCACCACTACAGGTAGATAGCGCTTTTGGTGAGACAGACAAATGAATATTAGTTTATGGCTAACCATTTCAACATGTCTAAAGGATGGGACACACATGGGCATCAATCAGTTCCACAATTCTGGAACTAGCAAACATCTTCTCTATCCTCCACATAAGTTTTTAAATTTCCAGACACAAGAAGGGAAAGCAATATAAGGCTCCTATATTACAGACTGGCTTATGGTTATACGTATGAGTGGGCTGGAGAACATGGATCAGCTTGACCTTTAAAAATGATCCTTAGATTATAAAATGATTTGCCTCCAATGTAAAATTCATTGTGTGCTATCTTGTGGAAGGCAAGCACTCTTTCAAATTGCTCTGCAGTGCCTAAAGGAAGTGAAAACAGGAATTAGTGATGTTAAACCTTCTTTTGTTACCATCTGTGAGGCTCTTTTTTCAGCTGCTCTTGGTATTTTCCCTGCACAAAGACAGTGCAGTCATAGTCTGTATTATCAGCCCACTGGGTTTCAAGAGGGGCACTGTAAAGACACATGAATCTGAACAAAATTGAAATATATTTCTCTGTCCCTGTGCTTTGTTTGAGAAATAATAATAATAGAATGATTAGATCTGCATATGCTTCTTTGCTTCTTACACACACACACACACACACACACACACACACACACACACACATTATGACAGGGGTAAATCTTGGATAGATATTATATGATATTTTAGAATTATATTAATATTTAGAAATACATGGAACAAATGGAAACCCTCAAGGAAATGAGAGGAGGGGAAGAAGAAGTAACCCCCCCCCCCGAATCAGTCATCAAAGAGGAAACAGGACTTACCCCACATTGAGTATATTATTGTAATATTAGGTATGGCTAATGGTGACATTCTCAAATGCAGTGCTCAGTGGCTAAGACACCAACTCTGATGATTGCAAGATCTGCAGGTTAGCGATTCAAGGCCCAAGCACCACGTGATGGAATGAGCACCCATCACTAGTCCCAGCTTCTGCCAACCTAGCAGTTTGAAATCATGTAGAAGTGCAAGTAAATAAATAGGTATCACTTTGGTGGGGAGATAACAGCATTCTGTGCAATCATGCTGGCCACATGATCAAACTGTAGTTTTACAATGCTGGCTGTTCAGCTTAATAGTGGAGATGAGTTAGTTACGACTAGACAATCTTGTCAAGGGAAAACCTTTACATTTAATAGTGGCATTACTTGATGTGAGTAAAATAGACCAGATGATTCCTATCCAGGAGTGGACATAGGTGCTACTTAGGCATCTAAAAGTAGGTCCTGAATTGTTCAGATTACAAGCCTAAATCATAAGAGGGAGTTTAGACCTGTCCAGAACACTTCTGTGTTGTGTTAACACAACCATCCTATTTGAATTAAGCTTCAGTTCATATGGGGCCTTTGCAGACTGCCAGAAATAGTGCAAATTGAATCCACTTTAACTGCCCTGGCTCAGTGCTAGGGAATCATGGGAACTGCATTTTTTTTCTGAGACATTGAGCCTTCTCTGTCAGAGAGCTCTGGTACTACAATAAACTACAGTTCCCATGATTTCCTAGCACTGAGTCAGGGCAGTTAAAGTGGACTCAATTTGCACTATTTCTGGCAGTCTGCAAAGGCCTTAGTCTCCCCCTCCATCCCAAATCCCAGAGAAGTTTTCTATATAACAAGTAGAAACAGAATTGGATATCATTGGCATCAATATTCCTAGATAATTTCACCTGGCATTTACAAGGAAATGTTGAACTACATGGGAATCTTAAGCTGTACAAAGCTCTGAACATCCCCTGATACAGTTATCAATCCAGATACAGTTTGATAAAGCACCACCATAAGCAGATGCTGTCTGTAAGGCCTTCATAGCATTGGACATAGGACCTTATCACACGC